GGGCGATAGCCTCACTCGTCACCTGAAAACAAACGCGTTTGTTTTTGAGACGACGAGTCGAGCGTAATCGATTTGTGCCACGATAGCCGCTTTGCACCCTCAATCTGGCTTGCAAGCCGCCCCGACCAGACCCGATCCCCCCAATGGGCACCACGTATTAGGCTAGTCCATCCCTCGATGTTACCGATTCACGTTATTCTTTGACAACATTTATTTGGCCCCCACATCTTACCTACGGGTATTACCTTCATAATCATTACCAATCATTACATCTGTCTGAACCCCCCCCCCCCCTAATCCCCCAGCTTCCCAATGATTTTAGGTACTCTGGTGTACTCTGTCTCTTTTAGTCTTTTATGTAATTGAATTATAATGACCCCTCTTGAAGAAATACGATCTTTTCTTTTATTCAGGCTGTAAGCAACATGCTGATTAATTTATATGGCAAAACTTTCTAGTCAACGTCTCCCCGCGCCCCCCCCCTCTTTTTTTCCCCCGCTCTCCTCTTGTTTCGATCAATTTATCTTCCTGCTTAGTTGACCTTCTATTTATGCATGTGTGTTTACTTGTTTCCGTTTATTTGTCTGCCTATTTGTCCGTCTGAGAAACAAAATTCTTATTACTTAATCGCCTCACGGCCCACCCACGTCCATCCATTACTTCCCTTTTCAGTCAGAACGCGGAAGAGGAAGCGAAATACTCAACCCATTTCTCCTCAAAGTTCAAACCAATACTGTTACTTATCGGTGAGTAGCCACGTATAGGTAAATATTCACACATCGGTTAATATAACTGTCGAATTTAGGTAAATCGTCTCATTTGGGAAAATGCACAGATTTCGGTGAAAAGGCTCATGTCAGTAAATAGTTAGATATCGGCAAATGTTCTAACATCGGTAAATTGATGGCCAGATATCGGTAAATAGTTTCATTTCACTTAAAAAAGCCTCATATCTACAAAAGATCAGATATCCGTAAATTAAATAGTCTCTTACAGGAAAGAGGTCGCTTATTGGTAAATTGGGGGGGGGGGGGGGGGGTGTTAATGGGCACACTGGTGTAGTTTGCTCCTTTCCTGTCAAAAATCTATCCTCCTTGCCTTTTATTCTTCTTTTCTTTGTATGTTACTCTCTAGAAACACATCTAATCTTCGGCATCTCTATGACCTTTCTGTGTTGCAAGTACCGTAAAATTCTTGACTCTTACTAAAAAACCCGAAAGTATTGGGAAATAGTCAAGTATCAATAAAATAGTGTCATTGTGGTAAGAGGTCACATTCGGATGTATAGCCTGATTTATGTGTAGATAGTCAGATATCGGGAACTAATCACACCAGAAATTTTTAGTTTAAGCAGTCAAATGTTGTATAGTTCAATATTGTTGCGTGTTGCAGTATAGCAAAATAAACGTATCTCAATTCTGATTAATTAAGTATCACAGCATTGCGTTATGGGTATGCTTGTCAATGCTTGAGTTCAACGTGTTTTGCTGTCTTGTAAATATAGACATTTAAAACTTGAATCATTGTCCACTAAGCTTACAGGGAGAGGTTGTTGGGGGGGGGGGGGGGGTTCAGCAAGTCTTTGATCTGGGTAAGAAAAAATCATAGTAGAGTAATGAAATTTAGCCAGCCTTTAGACAATTTCTTCGGAACACACCATGCAATTAATTATCGTGGAAATCCGACAATAATAAGGCACTATAGAGGGGTCAAAATTTGTGGCGCAACTTATTGTCAAATATCTCTTCAAGTATCGAAAACAGACTCTTTACTTTTGCACAGTGACGTGTATCGTCTTAACAGACCACTATTTTTGTAAACACCCGTTACCTCTATTCTAGAAAATTCCTGAATAAATACTAATAAAAAATCCCAGTGCGTGGTTTCTACAGATTTTAAAAGGTTAACCACTGGAACAATATTGCTTTTAAAAGCAAGTCCGTCTTTTTTTAATTGACGAGGGTTGTTTTTATTGAGCGCATTTCTTTAAAACTTTTAGTGCAAAAAAGTGTTCACTATAAATTAATTTCTTTTAACTAGTTTTGCCTCTAAAATTGTCATTGATGAGCTGTGACGTAAGCCATATGCGTACGCAATATGGGTATGAGAAGCGGGAAGTGCTGTGAACAATTCCAGTTTCCATGTGAAATAGGTTTGTAGTATTTTATATAATTTATGGAGAAGGTTTTTTAAAATCTAGCCCCAATTGTTGTAGAAAAACATGGTTAAGTTAAGACATTGGTAAAAACGGCTGTGCAAAGTATGAGTGACATTGATTCTTCCGTTGAAAAGATATTTAAGGATAAGTTGCGCCACCAATTTTTGACCGCACAAAAGTCAACGTGTTCAATGAAACCATGCACAAAAACGTTTGCTTTTCTTTGCTGAAGCTGTGCCATGGAGCCAGTTGAATATCACTCAGTTATCAAGTTTTTCCACTTGAAAGGAAAATCCTCGTCGGACATTTTTCAGGAAATGGTCCAACTTTATGGTGACAAAATGTCCTCGTCATAATACTGTGACATACTGAGTAAGAAAATTCAAATCTGGATTTATTTCGGTGATGCATGAAGATCGTGAAGGGCGCCCATCCTTTGTTGTAAGTGAAGAGAAAGTATCCATTGTGAAGAAACTGGTTCTACAATACTGGAGTGTAACTGTTATACAGCTCTCAAGTGAAACGAAAGGGGAGGACTTCCGTAACGAGAATCTAATAAATTATTCTCAATGTCCATCAAAATCATAATTGTCCTTCCGAAACGAGAATCAGTGAAGGGTCAGCTGAAACGATTCTTCATGACCACCTTAACGTGAATAAGGTGTCTGTGCGGTGGGTACCCTGCCATTTGACAAATAAGCAAAAGAAGCAGAGGGTTGAGTCCTGCAAAACTCTCATTCGAAGAGTCCAATGCCACGCATTTCTTTTAAAAAAACATGGTTACTATGAAAAAGACATGGATTGATCATTTTGATCCAGAAAAACATGACTTCCATGCTCTGGAAACCCCCTTCTTCTCCCTCTCCAAAGAAGGCAAAGGCAACAGCGTCAAGTGGAAAGGTCATGCTGTCGTGTTATTAAGGTTGTGAAGGTATCATCATGACGGACTACCTGGAAAATGGAAAAACAGTCACAGGGGACTACTACTCGGGTTTGCTGATGAATTGCGGTCCGAATTGGTGAGAAAATTGCGTGGAAAACTCCGTGATGGGTCCTCCTACTGCATGACAACGATAGGGTTGAACAAGCAGTCCAGACAGCAGAACAGTGCAGCTTTGAAATCATGCCACACCCACCTTATTCACCAGACCTAGCCCCCTTCAGACTTTTTTTCTGTTTCCTGAACTAAAAAGTATCACTCAAAGGACGTCGTTTCCATGACAACGAGGACTCCATTGAAGTTGTTCAAGACTGGTTAGGGGCCCGTTCTAGGTCATTTTTTTTCTCTCATGTACTTTTGGAGGCCAAAGAGAATGGCAGAGATGTGTTACTCTTCATGGTGACTATGTCGAGAAATAAAAGTATGTGTGTCAAGTCACAAATTCTATCTTTATTCCTTCACATTTAGACCTAAAGACTTCTTGAACCCCCCTCCCCTTTGTAAGTAATTACAAGCCGTTGTGTTCACCCAGAGACCTGGCTCAGAGAATCAAGATGGAAGGCGACTCTCCACATGACATCATAAACCATGCTCTCGCTCAGATAGGACGTGTCAGCAAGGGTCATATGCAAGTAGCTCGTCACAGCGCGGACATTCAATCGCTCAGGTGGGTGTATCCATCATTAATGTCTGTTTTTGTGTAATGGGTTAACCTGAATATGATTGGTGGCTGTTTCAAAAATTATTTTGTTTGTTTGTTGGGTTTTTATTTAGTGCCTTTATAGTGGACTTTAATTTTCTCCTTCACGGTGTTGATAATATCACTGTGGGAGGTGTACAATTCTTGTGCATACTTTCCTTTCCGTACATTATAAAGTTTCCTCTCATGGTTGTTCGTGTCTGAGTCAGATCATTTTTTTCTGCGCGTACGCAGGATTGATTGCAAATGCGTGCCACCACCGTCGACTCAATTTGTACAATTTAACTTTATCCGTAGGCCTACGTCGTGTTTTACTATCCTATCCATACGACGTGGAGAACTCTGTGCCCCCACTTTCCAAAAAATACATTTACTCGTTAATCCGATCCGTATGTTTTGCAAAGCAGTCTGTCAAAATGATTTTTTGAGATACTCTGAAAGTTTCAAAGAGATCTTCGCACTAGAAGTATTTTAAAAAGTGAAGAATACAATCTCTGAGGTACAAAATAACCCCAGGCGTACGGATAGGGTTAAAAGGCGGTTGTTGCAACAGTCAGTATCTGTCGGTGCCAACCAGATCGGACCGGTATGTAGCCGTATAGCAAACAGAAGGAGTTACTCGATGAAATAAAAACTTCCCCTGTACGAAATGTTGGTCACGTCTTAGATTTTTAAAAAGTCAAATATTCGACAATCAAACAGATGATTGAACAAACAATGACAATGACTATCTTTATTCATCTCGAAGGGAGAAATTTGTCTTGGTTGTTTACAATGGCAGTAGATGTAACACAGCTTAGGTGCACTCACGCATACGCACAAGAGGGGACAGTAGTAAACATATCTCACGTTCTGAAACACCCGCTCTGCGAAAACTCACTCTCTCTCTCTCTCTCTCTCTCTCTCTCTCTCTCTCTCTCTCTCTCTCTCTCTCTCTGTTTCATTTGTAGCACTGTGTGTTCAGTAACCTCACTGCAGTTGTTGTGAATGAATTTCTGTATCTGTCTGTTCTTGCTTTTATGGAAATGTATCGTTTACTGTGGGTCGATAATTGACATGCTAAATGCTCAACACACAAACACATCTTTAAACATACCTCTTTACCGCTATACCTCTTTCCCACTTCTCGTTTATCAGAAACCTCGAACTGAAAGCCCAGATGGAGGAAATGATTGACACCAAGAGCGACCTCAGCTTATTGAAGGTCGTTAAGTTTGGAGATCCCGACATCATAGACCGGGGTGACGACTTCTCGGACACTAAATTCCAGCAAGACAAAGAGAAAGAGAGCAACACCGCCACCCCTCCTGACCCAAACACTGACACCCCGAAGTAGCATCGGACAAGTTTGGAGGACTGCGAATTACATTATGCCAGCGCACACACAGCCAATCGGATTCTTCAGTTTGAGTTGGGGGCTAGCCAGATTCTCTTTCGTGGACGGGGTAAAAGCTACCATTTTGGCACGACACGACCGAATTCATCAATTGAATTTGACTATGACCTTCTGAAGCAGAATATGCATTTGTTTTTAAGATCGTGAATCGAATCGGTCGTACTGTATCAAGATAGTAGCTTTCGCCCTATCCGTGAAGGAATGTTTGAGTAGCCCCGACTCAATCCAGCGAATCCGATTTGTAGCGTGCACTTGGTATTAGGTTGACAGACTATACAATATTATAGTTCAGACAAGCAGACCGATTAACACAATGGTGCCCCAAAGTATGTCAGTTTTAGAGAGACGACAACTGCGTTTTGCTATTAAAAGATACAGTAATATTTAACCTCCCCCCTCCCCACACCCTCACGCTGGCCAACCGAATGGTGTGCCGAAGCCTGAGGTCAAGATATCGTGTTCCGATAGTTTACAATAACGCAGACAAACGGACTGATGACACATTGTGATGACGCTCTGAAGTAAGTCAAATCTGGAGAATTTAAAACACTGATCTTTTATTATCATACAGTACTTAACTGACAAGCAAACCGACCAATGGAATATGCACTGCAGTTTGTCAATTCTGAAGGAATAAGTATCATTCAACGTCTGAGGTATCATAAGATAAGGGGGGTGGGGGGGGGGGGGGCGCTCTCGTGGTCTAGAGGTTATGGTGTTCGTCTCTCATTCAAAGGTCCCGGGTTCGAATCCGTGTAGCGACCGAACAATTTTCTTCTCTAAAATTGTCTCCTTTCCTGCTCTCTAGCAATGTTCTGTCGTCTGCTTTCGTCTCCACTTTCTGCCACCACCCCCTCACTTTCTTTGCCCCTCCTCTGGGCTCCTGACTCTTTCTGCAATCTTTCTACTGCTACTCCTTGGCTGCTTCTTACTGCTGTCTTTCAGCTTCACCCCTGACCTACACCTAGCCTTCTCTGACAAGGGCTAAAAATCTCGGAGGTCCCAGTGCAAGCTCCGCACTTTAAAGATCCCTTGGTGGTCTAAAATCGATAAGAGTAGGCTTCGGCCGCCACCCGGGGAAAATTTAATATTTCCTACTAACTGAAAATTTTAATGTTTAATGTATTCCGTGCGCTCATATGACCTTATGCAGTTGCGAGCGCCGTAAAACACTTACAAAAAAAAGGTATCATAACATTGCGTTATCGCTATGCAAGAGTTCAACTCACTCCACTTTTACACGAAGAAGCGCGATGCTTTCCAATATTATTCTCTTTTTAGTAGTGATTTTTTTAGACAAACTGTTAAAAAAGCAGCATGAAAATGTACTTTTTATTTAGAAAAATTATCTTTACTAAAATAAAACTGCTTTGTGAAGGACGGCAAATGTGTTTTTGCAATCTTTTTCTTCCTTGTCATTCATATATGAAGGCAGAACAGGTAACGATCAATTTTAAACCACTATGTTTCGTCGTTTAATTCTAACTTTGTTGTTTCGCTAGTTCTATTTTACTGATTAATACAAATTTCTTTTAAAAATGCTATAGTCGCCTGCTTATGACACACAGAAACACACACACAGACACAAAAACACACGCGCGCACACACACACGCGCGCACACACATACGCATACACACACACACGACACACACACACACACACATACATACACACACACACAAACACACACACACACACACACACACACACACACACACACTCGAATAATGGCCACAAAGGATTAGACCAGCAGTAGACCATGCTATGATCCCATTTTAAAAAAAGACAGTCGTCCTGACCCAGATTTTATTTCTTCTTGGAATGCTGCTCTTCTCTAATTTTTAAATGATATAGAATCTATGCGTCACGACGTGGTGGAATCAGGCTCTCGTCAATTTTTGGGCTTGTGGAGTTATTGGTATCATCTTAAAGCTTGTTCAGTTGTCTTGCTATTTGTGAAAAAATACCCATCTATCTTGAATAGAAGTCAAAATATTTGAGATTGAAGAAGGTGGGGTCGCCTGGTTTCAAAGGTAGAATTAGCGAGAAAATGGTCGCATAAGTTTGGTTATTTCCATAATTTGATAGTCCGTGGAAACTGAAATCTTACATTTTTGTGTGCCTTTAATCAACGTTTTTAAAAATAGTAAAACCCTCTCAGAAATGTGCTCTTAATTAGACAACAATGGTGTAAAGCCAAGAAAAACAAAAAATCGAGAAAAATTGTGAAACTGGCAAAAACATTTCGGTTTCGTCGATTTCATTATTTTGACGAGCGCCTGATTTCACCACGCTGCCTCACAATAATTTCACTTGATGCCAAGTGTACCGCATGAACAAAACTAAGAAATGCAAATAGCTAGAGACAGTAAAATATGTTAAATCCTGGGAAATACAATATGTCATTTAATGTTTAAAGACAATCAAAATATACATTCTTAAGTGAAAAGATAATAGTATGTGTTGTCAGCCTTTCTTCTAAACGGCTGTAAATGCTTGACACTTGTCGAAGATACCGAAAATACTTTTGAAGTTGAGGCAAGAGAAATGCGGTTTCTTTGGAGGCTGAGAACTTTATGGAAGAATAAGAAATCGAATGTTGTAAAGTTGAAAGAAGCCCAAATTACTTGCCACCTTTAAAAAAAACAATTAAGAAGAAATTATTACAGTTTTTGGGGAAATTAAGTAGACCTAAAGGCTTTGAATTTCTTTCTCTCACCGGAAAAATAGGAGACAGAAGAAGAGACAATGGACCAAGGACAACTTACTCAGACGAGATAGCTTGAAAAAAAAAGGATGACGAGGATGGTTCTGTTTTATTATTCTTTTTTTTTTGTAGAGCATCCGCGCAGAGAAGTGAGTGACGAACGACAACTCGTGATCGCTGTTGACTGTTCTAGATCTGACATTTGATGATGTTACTGCTGATAAAGACATAGATAAAGATAAATTACACTTTTATTGATCCTAGAAGGGCAATCTGATTTACAATGGCAAACAAACAAACAAACAAACAAACGTACATACATACATACATACATTACACACATACATACAAACAAACATACATACATACATACATACATACATACATACATACATACATACATACACACACACACACACACACACACAC